AAGCTCTGGGTGCTGGTGGGGGGCTGCTGCCTGGACCCCCAGACCAGGGACGACTTACTGAGGGACCCAAAGGGGGAGACCAGCGAAAGGGAGCCATGTGACCTCCCCATGCTCTGCCCCCCCCCACTCTCCCCCGCACATGGTACCTGCTGGGGGGGAGGGGAGGAGCTGTCCTGCTGCTGCGCGGGAGACTCTCCAGAGCCCCAGCAGTGAAAGGAGCAGAGCGTGTCCAGCAGCTCCTCTGGGACAGCGGCTCTCCCACGCCCCCGACTGTCCCTCCATCTTCTCCGCCTTCTTTCCGGCCTCTCCGCGTTCTCCTTTCGGCAGATCCCTCCTGCCCCGTCCCCCCCCCACTCCCACCGGGGTCCACGTACCAGAGACAACACCCCCCAGCTAAGGAGAGAGGGACGTCCGCTCGGTTTGTACGCCCCGCGTGGGCGCCTTAGGGCAGGGACAGTCTCTTGCCCTGGGCTTGGTTGGGGCACCAATGGTACGGCCCTTTCTCGGCGAGAAGGGCCCTCGAAGCTGCCGCGGCACGTAGGCCTGGTCGTGGGACGGCTGGAGATCGCAGTGAATTACTTAAGAGCTATTTTGAACGCGGAGTGGAAGGCCCCGGAGCCAAGCTGTCTTCTCTCCAAGCATTAGCCCAGAACTGTGAGTTCTCTCCAATGCTGCAGTGCGTGGAAGGATTTTTATAGCTGCAGCTCGGGCAGAGGCTGCCAAAACAAGCCATCGGCAGAGCCGGCTACTTCTCGCGCCGGCGGGAGACTGCGCCGCAGCCCTGGGTCGCGCCACACCAACGTAGCCAACGCTTCCTCGACGCCCCGCGCGACGTGCCGGCTGCTGCCTGGGCCTGCCGAAACTCCGTCCTGGGGGCCGCTCGGCTGGGACGTGGCCGCAAGTGACCTCCCCCGGCTCGCCGAGATGACGGAAAAACTGTCCTGGCAGGGGACCGGACTCGATGACCTCACCATGGTCTTCCAGTTCTAGTGCTCTAGGAGTCTATTGCAAAATGGAATGGGAAGCCAGCTGCCAGGGCTTCTGCTACGTGGTGACCGGCCTGGGAGGTTTCAGGCTACCGAATCCGTGCGGGTGGAGAGCCAGGGGCCTAAGAACGGGGAACGGCGTTTGGACTGACATTATAAGACATTAGGAAAAACTTCCTGCCTGTCGGGGGGTTAAACACTGGGATAAGCTGCCTGGGGAGGTTGTGGAATCTCCATTGCTGGAGAGATTCAAGAGCAGGTTGGACACGCACCAGTCAGGGATGGGCGAGTGTTCTTTGATTCTGTAAGACCAGGGCCTATTCCCAGCTGCTGCCTCAGACCAGCTCCCGGGCATGGACACAGGGTTAAGGGCTTGAGATTAGGAATCAAAATACCCTTACAAATCTGAATAGTGATAGAGATGTAGCCGTGTTAGTCTGGTGCAGCTGAAACAAAAACCAGGACGAGGTAGCACTTGAAAGACCAACAAGATGGTTTATTAGGTGATGAGCTTTCGTGGGCCAGACCCACTTCCTCAGATCAATTTGGGAGCTGGGCACATTTGAATACAAGGAACCGCAAGGGACAAGGAAGTGGGCCGTGTGCCCGCGAAGGGGCGGTCCCTTGGAGAGCAGGGACATAGCCCAGGATGCAGGGAGCTGCCGGAGTAGCCAGGAGCTGGCAGTGAGGCTGGGCCGGCGAGCGTGAGCAGCGCTCGGAGGTCCCACGCTGGAGGTCGCATTAGCTTGGTGTGTGCGTCCGTTCGGCCAGTCCTGCCTCACTCCTGGTGCCCAGCCCAGGCGGGGCGGGGGGCGGCACAGCCCCACCGGAGGACAAGGCCAGGGTGGTCCGGGGGCGGTAAGCCACGGTGCCTTTCCCCTGGGCCGTGCGCCCATAACCGGAGCTGAGCTCTCCCTTGGGCAGAGCTGTGCCCCTTGTGCTCCAAGGCCCTGGATGCAGCTGACCACTTGTCCAGCCCGCTCTGCGCTGGGGGCCAGCATGGAGCCTGGTCTGCGCTGCATCATTACCAATAAACATAGACGGTTCACGCCCATCGCAGGCCCAAGTGCCCACCCCGCTGCGGGCCCGGCCGGAGATGGGCAGTAACCTGGCCAGGACGGCTCAGGCTGCTTGCTCCGGGGAAGACGTGAGAGATTCAGCTGACCACTTGTCCAGCCCGCTCTGCGCTGGGGGCCAGCATGGAGCCTGGTCTGCGCTGCATCATTACCAATAAACATAGACGGTTCACGCCCATCGCAGGCCCAAGTGCCCACCCCGCTGCGGGCCCGGCCGGAGATGGGCAGTAACCTGGCCAGGACGGCTCAGGCTGCTTGCTCCGGGGAAGACGTGAGAGATTTGCACGGCCTGCTCTTTCTACCTAGGCCACGTCACGTGAGCGGCAGCCACGGTCCGAGGC